AACACACCCACTAGCGGTCTTACATATAAGGCTGGCTGTAGAGCTTAAAAATGTTTATGCTTGAGTGCTAATGATGTGCAATCAATTGAATCATACAATGTACTCCATAGGTAGTATATACAAGTATATAGTATGCTTAGAAAACCTTTGAAGCGATAAACCAAAGAAAACAAAGCGACAGAGAGAACTTTGACAAGCGAATGGACAGCCAAAGCAACAGAAACAGCAAGAGCACGAGCTATGGCGACAATAAATTTGAAATAAAATCATAAGCAGTTAGTAAATACATATACACTTATATATATATGTATATATAGATATATATTGAGGTGCAATCATACCAGGAAGCCTGTCCAAGCACAACGAACTTGAGCCAAGATAATCAGACGACAAAACCGTAAACAAATAAAGTAAAAATCCAGCCACGACAACATCAACATCAACGACTACGTGGATGTGGATGTGGATGTGGAAGACTGGGTATGAACAAGGGCCAGTTCATTGACATTGAATGCTTGGCTGGGACTCTGGGCGAGAACGAGCATGTGGGACTGGGACTGTGATGGTGACTGGGAGTTTGGAAAGTGGTTACAACTTCTAGCAACACATCGTGCTTTGTTGCTTACGAGTACTATGTTGGTGCTATGGTTGGCAGTTTTAACTTTTATGCATAACTGCGTTTTTAATTGTGCGCTGCATAAAAGCCGCACTCACGGCGCACTTGTTAGACAGACACAAGAACAGGCACAGATAAAGATACAACAGAGATACAGCGGCGAGGAGCGACAGTCATAAGCATAATAGAGCTATGGATGTGTAGGCTAGGCTACTTTTGCTATACTCGTATAGCTGTGTAGCTGCAGGATACACTCGTACATACTTATAGCCATACATAGCTCTAACTCTGACTCTGACTCTAACTCTGGTTCTGGCTCTGGCTCTGCATGCTCACGCGTAATTTCTACGAATTCCGAGAGACAAAAGACATAAGACAAAGCAGAAGTCGCAAGGCAGCGGCATGGGCTTGGAACCTTGAGGGTTGCATGACCTATATCACAGATTAGAAGAGCAAGACACCACCATCACCACCACCGCCACGAGACGTCTTACCCTGCCCTGTTGTTGTTATTATTAAACTCGTAGCTAGAGCTGCAATCGAGGCAGTTTTCCCATGGCATCTCTCATGCACGTCTCAGTCCATATGACAAATGTTTCACATCACTGCGCCCGACTTCTGCAATTACCTGCGTACAGTTCATCTTGTTGTTGTTGTTGTTGTTCTAGTTGTTCTATTTGTTGTTGTTGTTGTTATTGTTGTTATTGTTGCTGCTGTAACGCTGCGTCCCTCCCGGCGTCACAGCTCAGTTGGTTGCCACGTCTTGCTGAGCTTGAATGCAAGGGAGAGCTCCGAGTTGCGCCTTGGCTCTGGAACAAGTGCTTCCAGTTGCCCATTGCCTGTGCCTGGCAGGATGTCGTCTTGAAATCGGTTGACTTTATGGCTCAGTTCACGGGTGGTTCTGATGGACTGCTGTGAGTTCGGCTCATGGGCGAGTGCTGACGTTGTTTTCGGGATTTTTTTTTTTTTTTTTTGGACTCACATTCAAGATTCTGCATTACAGCCGCTGCCGTTGATTACTCAATTAGAGCATTGCGAGAAATGCATTATGTCTGTAATTATATGGAAATGAGTGCTCAGTTTTCGTACTATACGAGTATACGGAATTAGGCAGGGGTTGGAAATTCAGTTTATGGTCAAATACGATGGTTGGTGGAAAGAAGCACAATAATAAAATAAAGCATAATAAATAATAAACTCGTACTTATAAAGTGAAACTTTCTTAGAAATAATGCATATATATATTTTATGTGAAAGTATATAAAGTGGATTCTTAATTTTATTAGCCTTATTAGATACCCATCGGAGCTCAAAGTAGGGTTTCTTGCATAGCTCCATACGAGTATCTTCAACTTAATGAATGAAATAAGCATTTGAATAAAAATGTTTAATTAAAATTTACTCAGATAGAATTTTAGTTCGGTTAAATGTATGGTAAAGACAAATATGTTTTGCATGTTTTGCATTTCTTATTCTAAGTATCAATACGTAGGCATTTAAGTTGAAATAAATACTACCTACTTGTATAGCTTTGATTGTTGTTCCACTGTAGCATAATGCATTCGCATTTAGTTTGTAGGTATTTTGTGCTTTGATTACTTAATTTGAGCATTGCGATAAATACGTTATGTCTGTAATTATATGGAAATGAATCCACAGTTTTCGTACTATACAAGTATAAGGAATATGGCAGGGGTTGGAAATTCAGTTTTTGGTCAAAATAGTTGATGAAAAGAAGCACAATAATGAAATGAAGCATACTTGTACTTATTATGAAGTGAAATATAGTAGGTAAGCATTTCATTACTTATAGCTTTGCTTGCTCTTCCCCTGCAACATAATTCGTTCGTTTTTAGTTTGTACCCCCTAACAAGACCTTAAGTCTTGTTCAACTAGTTCAGATTAAAATTCATCTAATTTAATATTTTACTTGAAAACTCCATCATAATGTTCGTCCTCATACCTCTATCGCTTTGTTAATATTTATATTTGAAATGCTTAAGATGTAAGATCATCTGATTATTTACCTACCTATTTAGTTTAAGTTCACGATGTGCTGCTAACCTTGGTCCTCATAGCTTAATAGGCTTGTAAATATTCATATCGTATTTACTGCTTTAGACATTGCATTAAATGTGTATAAAATCTGCCGTGCACTATTCAATATAAGGTTGTAAATAAAACCTTCGAAATGAATTAGCTTTGCTGGGCACTGCCCTCAACTACTCATGCATATTTATAAGCAAGCTCCAATCGAATTGATTGTCGTGTGGCTCACAGCAATAGTTCTAGCCATGTAATTATGGCAACATACCACAACGTCTTAGGCCAATAAAGCTGCTTAGCTTGCTGCAGCCGAAAAAAAGAGCAAAACACACACACGACAATTTTCTGTGTATCTGCCAATGCAACACACTCGCTGGTAGCTTTATAGGGTCAAGTCTTTAGAGCATCAATAACACCACACATGGGTACGAGCATATGACCAGCACTTCGTTTACGAAAATATATATGCTCAAGATCAAATTTAAGCCGATTTATTAACGTCAGCGGAGCTTGATGTGCTCCGAAGCACGCCAGCAACTCTGATCGTACCTGGTGGTTGACTGACCAACAAAAATCAGAGAAAAACATAAAAATTAATAAACTGCTATGCTAAGTGACTGTGTGTGTGAGGGTTCGTGTGTGTGTGTGTGTGTGTGTGTGTGCTGCTGCATTATGCAAAGAAGGCAGACCCAGCGACCCCATAGTCGGTGAAAAATTAAGCGGCTTTATCAGCGCATCACCCGCATGCGCAGCCGCTCGCTGGACTCATTAATTTTGTGGGGCCAGTGCAAGAAACAAAGCGGTCGGTAGGCTCGAGCGACTGCACAGAAGTCGGCATTGAATACAAAGCAAAGAATGCCTAAATGCCTCATTTAAGCCCTAAATTAAAGCTACTTTGGACGCTATAAAAAGACAACAAGTTGGTCGTTCAAACTAAGCCAATAAAGCAGACAGCGAAAGAAAGTAAGCGACCAGGCCGTAGAAAGGGCCACAATGTCCACAGATGCGAGTATGGCTTCTTTGTGAACTACTGGTCTTCGGCTTTGCCTAATTAGATTGCCATTGTTCGTAGTAGACAGTTGAGCAAAATAATTGCGAAATCTTTTACCTGAACTCTATGGCCCTGCATATGGTTAGCCGCAATGAGGTAGACCCGCCTAATTTTGCAGGCAGAAACCTTCTTCGTTCTCATTAAATGGGCTGGAAACAAAACGTCATCGAACGACAGTTACTGCTATCTGCCAAAGGCAATAATAAAGTACCTCATACCCTCTCTGCCTCTGTCTGTGGCAATAGGCAGGCAAACAAATGAACGTCTTCGCTGATTCATTTCCCTCAGCCAGATTAGTCAATCATGATAAGAATGTTCTTTTAGTTTTCTCATTTCAACTACGAGTATTGTGCGTGCATTCGATGAGCTCATCATCTTACAACCCTTTGGGCTAATGTGAGGGTATCTTAGTTTGGTTTTGCGAAAAGATAAGCCTCACCATCATCAGAGGCAGCATCTTGTTGAAAAGTAATTTTTTATTTGAAATTTCCGTTTAATGATCTTGCTTTACGAGTAGAGGCAGATCTTATCGGCAATGTTTTGAGTGCGCGTATTCAAGAGTATTTTTTTTTTATATATCGCAACGTAATGAGAAATGGCAATTCATGAAGACTATCTTTAATACTTAAGTGTCAGCTAGAAAGGATACTTTGAGTCTATCAATCCATCCGTCCATCAATCTAAGCAGTATTCTTCTCTTCTCGATCGAAAGGCCAGTCTGTTCAGCTGAAAAAGGTAAACAGAACATCAATATTTGATGTGTGCGCCTTAGCTTGCGCCCACAAACTGCTGCTCAGTGCCGAAATAAGATATCTGCACGTATTTGTAATTTAAAACTCCACCAAAATAACCAGAAAATGAAGAGACAGAGCAACCATCGGCCTCAAGCCCAAGGCGCACATACACACATTAACATTATCCTACAGCAATAATTTCTTTTCTTTTTCTCAGCAAACAATACAAATGTAAAGATATGTCATTTGCAGGCGAGGCGGTCACAGAAACGAAACGAAACGAAATCAAAGAATACGGATACTAAGAGAAATGAAGATCGATGCTCCATAACAGTACGTTGTAGTTTAGGTCTGGGCCTGAGCCTGAGCAGGCATGCCTGGACTGGCTGGCAGGCCGAAAGGCATAGGCAACATGTGCGCCGCTTTGTAACGCCAATTATGGGCCCATAATTCGAAGGCATTGTCTGTGGCACAAAAGACGAGAGGAGACGATACCAGACGCGACGGTTGAGGGAGCGGGAGTACATCGTTTGGAATTACAAGAAGATCATTTCATGCCTACACACACACACACACACAATGACAAAGTCTTTGCCTGCTGGTGCGTAGCCAAGCGACAAATGAGCAGCAAGAGAGGGAGAGAGGTTGAGAGAGAGAGTTTTTCCACAGCTACTAGGCTACCTGTGCATTCTTAAGCGCGCTCACTGAGTGAGTCTTGGTGCGTTGAGAGCGAGTGCGAATGGAGTGGAGTGAGTGCGATCGTTATCGAGCGACGAACTGAGCTCAAGCGGCCCAGCAGCACACTCTGTTTGCCAGCTGAACACAGTTTGTTTGTAGACGCCGTGAGAGCTGGTTGCGTATGCGTCCAGAGATTAAAAAGTGAACGAACCTGGTCTAACAGATACAAAGATACAACGGCAATCGGCCAGAGTGAAAGTGTTGTGGATAACCTGCAGATATCAGTCAAAAATATTTCGTACACATACGTCGTGCATAAATAGACAGAATGGAGGACGTGCCACGCGCATTGAATTACGAATTGTCGCATGATTTGCACTTCGAGAATTTCGCCGGTGCCGCACAAAAAATACTAGAGAACGGAAAAGACGCCGCTGAGGCCTCAACACCCACTATTACCACATTGGAGGCCCTGGCCAATAACGAATTCTTCCAAAAGCTCGGAGCCACCTTCATCAATTCCCTACAACTGAAGCATCAGCAACAGAACTCAAGTGAAGCAGCAATGGATTTTGAATTTGCCTCGAACCATGTCGTCCTGGACTCGTCCAGCGTCGATCAACTGCAGCAGCAGTTGGAGTATGACAAGTTCATGAACGAGGTCTGGATTGGAATTGTGTTCACGCTGATACTGATCTCCATGATATTTTGCATCTGCTCGTGCTTCTTGTACCATCAGTTCAGGACGTGGAAACGCAATTGTAAGTACGAGTACTTGTATCTCACAGATATAATATGTACGTGCCTTGCATACATATGAGTATGTGCTTAAAAGTTTGACAGGCGTCAGGTGTTCTGGCCTGCAGATAGTCGTACAGGCAAGGTCTCTGGTCATTAGAGCAAAGTTTCCATTATTTCGTGTTGATTTTTGTAATTAGCGCTTCAAATAAAAGTATGTGCTAAAAAATCAAAAAAGTTTGAAGTAATTTCAAAGAACTAGGTAGAGCACACCTCTAGATACACAAAACAATATGGTTTCCATCAATCGACGTATAGCCAAGTTCTAGTCCATAGTCTAAAAAATAATATGTGAATTGGGTAAAAACAGTGAACTGGTGCCTCAAAACAAAAATTATCTCTTCCCAAAATAGTCGTAATCTACCAAGTAGCAATTGATAATTGCGTGAACGAAAAAAAACATGACATACAAGTAAAACAAAGCAATCAGTAAGCGTCAAAATAACAGATTATCGGGTACATGTACTATCAAGGCAATCAAATCTATAACGCGACGTTAATAATGTTGACCCACTTTAGAAGAAACTTAATTTCAGTGCGCAAATAAAGCGCTAATGGTTAACAAATTCTCAATGCATCTATTAAAAATATTCAAAGCAGAAACTAGACACGTAAGAAGTCTTGACCCGCAGTGCAAGCCATAAGTTGTTATACTATATGTTTGTAGTATGTGTGTCTTTTATCTTATATCGAACAGTTCAAGTTCGCGGAGCTCAGACACAATTGTTAGCAATGCGATGGAATAATTAAATATGTAATAATGTAATAAAATAATTAAATATTCATGGCACCTGCCAACATTCTTTCCCAGCTCTATTGCAACACCTTCATGTCTTAGAAACTATTTTGTTGGCAATGATAATTGCAGGGTTTGCCAAAAACTCAAGTATTTCAAGTACGAAACGCCAAGGTAATTAGCACAGCTGACACAGTAAAATAAATAATAATAATAAAAATAAAATAACTGAGAACTACAAGTAAACAGCTCTATTTGAACCTTAATAAGAGCGCGGCGAGTCAGCAATAATAATGGCGTAATTGTTGTGTGAAGATCACAATCGTGACATAATAAGAAAAAAGTGCCAAAATATAAATAAATAAAACGAAAAATAAATCGAATGAGTGCTAAAATTGGTGTCCCAATTCATGGGCTGTTCATTAAATTGAACGCAAGGTGAACATAAGGGGGACGGGCGCAGAGGCAGTAATGGGTCAGGGCTTGGTCTTTATTTATTTCTTTGGAGACATTAAAATTATACATATATACGATTTAAAAACTAATAAAAATCGTTTTATTTTTTCCGTTGCAGATCACAACAATGCCAGCAGTAGCTCGCAATGCACCATCATCGATATCGAGGCACTGAAATTACAGCCCGAAAACGAGGATCCAGTGCCAGAGTACACTCTAGTATCGGGTCTGCCCAGCTACGAGGCTGCCCTGGAGCTGTTGCATAAAACACCGCAATCTTCGTGCTTGATTGTCTATCCAAGCGTGTTCAATGTATTCAATAGACATGAAAGAGCAGCAACAACAACAGCAGCAGCAACAGCAACATCAGCAGAAGCAACTGCAATAGCAAGCAGACAATTGAGCGAAGTTGGGCTGGTAATGCCACAATCACCACAAGCTGCACAAACTTCACAATTGTTGTGCGAGGCAACAATGCCATTGCTGGCATCAACAACACCAACATTACCAGCAACAGCAACATCAGCAGCAACACCAACAGCAACACCCACATGTGAAACTATTAAGCCTAATTTTGTAATGCCAATTGTGCCAAGTTATAGCGAGGTATTTGGCAGCTACAAAACCATAGATGAGAAGCCACGCACACAGAGCTCGAGGCACATGAAAGAAGACTCGCTGATGCATAAAAATCAAAACGATAAATGCTGATTGGCATTTGTGTTGGTGTATCTTTTGTGTGTTGATTTGTAAAACATAACTAGCTATCTCATCGATACCAACTCTAACTGTGCTCTGTGATATATACATACCTATGTACATACATACATACATACATACATACATACATACTCGTACATACAAAGCTTGTCAGAGAATTGTGTTTGTTGTTGCTGGACGGCAGCCCTCGCCTCAACGACTCGATTCGATCGCATTCAAACGAATATGGGACACCACATTTCCATGGAACTCTGCTGCATTGATACTATGTAGGAATATTATACCATACTATTAATAATTTATGTTAAGCCACAAACTTTTGTTAAAACTGACGCTGTGATTATGAAAAGACGTTACTAAACAAATGAAAATACGATCAAAGTTAATTGAATGAAATGCTAGCTCAATCAATCCCTCAATGTACTTATATATGCATATACTTAACTTAATGCTTATGCAACTAGTTAGGTTTTGTGTATATAATATAGCTTGTTATTTAGCTTTTAAGTAGACCACAAACGATCAATAAATTATTTGAAATTACTTCGTACTTCAAAATCAATACTAAACATTTCATTTTGTTTTCCTTTTTGTTACCAACTCACAACACTCGTCGTAGTATATGAGTATAGCTTGGGGCTATCACTTGTTTGATTTCCATTTATTATTTTCATATCGGTCGGGGCAGCATTGAACTTGATTTGACGTTGCAGCCTGATTTGATTGACGGCATCACGGGCACCTCGCTACGTAGCCAGAGGCAAACGCCCAACCCCCCACCCCTTCGCAGATTCCATTATCAATGACCAAGTCAATGGCTTTGACGACGTAGTATTATTGCCAAGTTGCCAAGTGGCTGATGGATTGACATACTTTTATAAATAGTCCGGTTTGTTTACTTGCCGATGCTCTGGAGAGATGCTCCAAATACAAAACTAATCTCAGAGACATAAGAGATAGATAGATAACAGCAGTTGCAGTTGTTTTTTTGTATAGGACGTGATTGGTTGCATTTTTCTCTCTGTGTACATAGGAACGACAATTGAATCAACAATTGAATAATTGATTTGTTTATGCTAAACTTATAAATCTAAGCGTATGCAAATTCGTTTGTTACTCTGCTTAACAATAGACATAATAAATGATCTTAAATGTTTATGGCATGTTTTTACAAATTCTGTAAATTCAAAACAAAGGAGATTCCAATTGTCCGGTCACAAGGCAGTGCACGTGAAATTGCGGCTAGTTCTATGTCGGATTGCGGTAGGTCCACACTCTAGCTAACATGCACTTAGAGAATCTACTAGTGCTTACTGAAATTATGTAAATGAACTGCGATTTTGTGAAGGGTTATAATTAGTTTTTATTGCACTCGAACTACAAGTATATAACGCTTTTAAATTAGTGTTAGAAAGGATTCGGGAAGGGAATTGCAACCTTAGATGTTTTAGTTATGGGAATTGTAAAAACTCAGACCGTTTGCCAAACTTCAGATAAAATATGAGTAGAAAATTGCTAAGCTTTAGTGATTAATGATTGCTTATCAAACACAACTAAAAGAGCAGCTTCAGCTTATTCGATCTTATAAATAAAAGAAGCAGCAATTCAATTAGCTTTTGAAATTTCTTCAGCATCTATTAAATTTAAAATACACGCTCAATTATAAAATATCATAGAATATCCTTTTTGAAAATTTGATTGATTCAACGGAAGCTCCTTTTAATCCTGAGAAAGACTGAATTCCTACTTCTATATACATATATGTATATAATTCAAAGGACAACATTCGTAATACATTTGTTAGAGCTCAGGTTTAAAATATGTCTTCTAAGTAGAAATTACATTTCATTTTAAGAGAAACTTGTGCGAAATAGTCCATTTAACAACATGTCTTAATATGCAATTTAAAATCTTGTTTGTTCAACCTTTAAATCCGTTGTACCCCCTTTATATACAGAGTATTGTTTGCTTGAAGTCTGTTCTTAATAATTTTCAATGGAAAACAGTAAACAAAATATGTAACTCCATTAAATTCGTTGTAGAACTCATACTCGCAAATTGTGGACTGTAAATATTGGTTTGCTTCATATAATTTGCTGTTGTAACACAAAGTACTCATTAAAATTTGAAAAAAATTCCTTAATTAAATGCAAGCCCATTCTAATTGCTGTGCATTTATAACACACATTAATTCATTCAATGTTTGACGCACGTGTCATCTTTTTTAGCCTAATTGTTTTGTGTGTATCCACATTTGTAAGACAAACACGTTCGGAGGTAATCTTTAAACAAATCTTTGTTTCATTATCAAGATCTGTAAACAAAGTGCATTGCATTGCATTAATGGCAAACGAATTTGTTATCTTCTGCTATGGCGTTTGTTTATTTATTAGCGTATTTTTAGACTCAGTCGCGATTTCCGTGCTGTGTTGTTATTATTATTTTAAATGTAAAAACTAAACAACGATTTGTTAGAAGGCGTTGAATTGTCTGCCAAGTCATGTTCGGCGTGGCAAAAACAATTCCATAAGCCAATTTGAATACTGGCAGTAAAAATGATTTATTTTATAACGTGGCATTCGTCATGGGCTTGTTAATGATTGGAGCAGGCGAGAAAAGAAATTGAGTTGGCAGTCAACGGCTTTTAAGCAGAATTATTTGATATGCGTGCACGAAAGGTGTGAATTGCAATGGAAATTTGCATATTGGTGGAAACATTTCTACGCAGGCAGTGCCAATAACAATTATACATTTTAATTATAATCGCAATTTATTATGCACTATTTTATGGCTTATGACAGCTAAGTGACATTTTCTATGAATTTGTAAGCAATTTATGTATTGTTTATACGTTTTAGTTAACTATTCGCATTGAACCAGACACGCATACATAAGTAGCTGCCATACCTGCAAGTATGTAAATGCATTTGCTCTTTTTTTTCAGGGCCCATTCTCCAATTTAGATTTGCACATCAGCTACTCAGGGCCTATTAGGAATAGTTTTCCAAAACAGCCCCAACGCGTCCTCATCAATGTGTGCAAATTACTTGTATTTCATTATAAAATGTTCACAAAAAAAAGAAACTCAAAATGTAATCACAACAAAGGGCCGTTAAAGTGCGCACGCGCAACATTTACACAAAGCGTGCCTATTGGAACCTAATGAAGCCTACCAGTTGCCAAAAGTTGTTGTTGTTCTGCCTACCGCTCATTTACGAGAACACCTTCTGTACCGACATAATGAATCCAATCACGTAGGCCCCCAGTTCGAGCTCAACAAAAGCCACATTCCCTACAACTGGTAACTGGTTAGGCTGTCTAACTCTCACAACTCAACATTTTTTATTGGAGGGAAGAACGACAGAAGAAGTGTCAGATGTGACAAAATACAAGTAGTATACTATAAGTACTAAATAAAATGGCTTAACTATAAATAAATAATGTATTAATAGGTTCAGAAACAAAATGATCTTTTAATATACAAATTAGATGAAGATTTCTAAAGTTGTTGTAAGTTAACTGATCTTACAATGGCTCTGCAATTCTCGTTTTTAAACCTTTTACAATTTCATGATTAAACACTAAAAATAATTATTAAACTTTATTGGACTCCAAGAAACAAGTTAACCAAAAAGTAAATACTTTTATGCAAAGTGAAACTAGTTCTTTAAATATGATTATAAACATATTAAATGCGTAAAGTACAAAAGGTTTTCCCAAATTATTTCCAGCTCAGCTTTCAAATTCCATTAACATTTGTGTAACAGTTGTGCCCTCTGTAATTAACAGCTGCAATAAACGCACTGCTTTTAACAGTCCGCGGACTAATGGCTATTATGTTATCAGCATTCTCTGCTCATTTCAAGCACTTATTGTTTGATTTTTCTAGCAGAAGATAAAAATGCTGCGTAATTTGCTGACAAAATTATTAAATATTTGTTGTGCGCACTTGATTTTTTACCTTTTTCATATTTTTTGTTGTTTATCATGTAAACACTTTAACGTTATGCCTCCCATAAATATTCTTAGTCAGTTTTGATGGGGCCGTGGCATTAGTTGCGCTAAGATTATGCAAACTTTTTGTTTTATTTTGTTAAGCTTGTATGCTGATGTTTTTTCAAACTGAAATGCATTGTGTAAGAAACTTAGATAACAGGTCGACAGATCTGTGTCGTAGTCTTTGAAGAAGCTGTTGGTGAAGCCGTCAAACTTGAAGCAGCAGTAGGTTTTCTATTAATACACAATAATAACTAGAATATTCTAGATTTGCATGGCATTGACATTAAGCTTAAGTACTGTTTATGCCCAACTGTAATGCTCTGACTCTAATAGGACAGTAAATGTGCAAAATCACTGCGCTTTGGAATTCGAGTGGAATAATAAAAGCAAGCTGTAGTTTAGATTATCGACCGGTTAAAAACTCACGATCAGTTGTTACCAATCCACTCTTAGCTGGTTTAATACTAAATTCCACCTTGCTACTATTACTGCCATCATTTGCATTGTCACGCCTAAAGCGTGCATCAAAATGTCTGTGATTGGCGCTGCCGGCCAACATGTCTAGCCGTTAAATGCACATCAAAATATTATACAACATAAACAACATAATTAGCGTAAAATTTAAATACAAATCTCCACTCACAGCTAAATGCAGTCGGATATTGTGAACAAACAAACAAACTAACGTAAAGCCAAAGAAAGCGACTCTAAATGCAAAAGCCCAAGGCCCACAAAGGCGGCATACAATTTATTAAAAACTCATCTGCCGGCACGGACAGATGCTCAGATACTCAGATGCAGCAGATGCGGTGAAAGTTGCCGACCTAATGAATTGAACAATTTATTAATAAAATGCACATTAGCCCACGGTTAGGCCGATATGGCCGCAGCGGATTTAGCTGAATGAATTTTCAATTAAGCGCCAAATTTGATGCCAGCTAGCTGCTGCAGCGGACCGAAGTGGGAATAAGAGCTGGCGGGCATACTCGTAGTACGAGCAGACATAGAGATAGACGCTGTGCCGCCTCTCTGGCGAATCGAAAGTGAAACCGGTTGGTCGGCACCAACGACATATATACACATAAATATAAACATTTACGACGTCATACGTATACGCAATGTTTGACCCACATATGATGCAGGCGCAAAAAAATATTGGCAAGCCTGTTTATACAAGCCGAATACCAGTTACCTATTACTAATACAGTCGAAATTCTCTATAAACGAACAAATACAGCCGATATTTTATAGCTTTCCATTTCATTTGCTGTAAATAGCCATCAATACTAGCGATGCCGCGGTATGGGAATGTTAGGAAGCGATTTGTCTGTAGCAAGAGTTTTTTGAATGATCGGCTCTTATTTCTTAACAAGGTTAAAAAAAAACAAAAAAAAAAACAGCAGGACCAGCATTATTAAAAGATGCACAGGATAGTAAAATAAATAAATCAGAAATTAAATTCATTTTTTTCTTTAATTTTCTTTATAGTTTTGTTGATTTGTAAATTAAAAGGACTAGAAATAATTGATAAAATAGACAAGAATTTCTGAGTAGTAAGATAAACTTGTAATTTGTTAAGAGCAGCCCATTTATTAATTATGTATTTCCATTCTTAGAAACTAGAAGTGACCCTACCATAGATATCATAATATTACATTTAATAAATACAAACAAAATTGCTACGATCTAATATACATTTTTTCATTCTCGCCTGCCAACATCACGCTATTCGTTATAGAGATACTAGACTGTATATTTTTTGTAAGCGATTTTATTGGGTCAACATGGCAGTTGGTCAGTTCAGCCAATTTGGCTGGTTTTTGTCTGTTCAAATTAGCCAAAATTATGTTACGTTTTCCTTTCAAAACTAGTTGTAAATACGAATATCTAAATTTTTTGGAGCTGCCTACGTGGGCCCGTTAACGTATCTAGCTGTTAGTTAGGAACTAGACCTCGAAAATAAAATTATGAAAAGTATAACCTTTAACTCAATTGTGCACAGAGTGGGAAGAAAAGTCTAGACTGAGTGTTCTCTGCCTAAAACCTTACCAACATAAATATTAATACTTATCTACGCACAACATTTTTTTTGCCAACATTTAAATTTGCATTAAAAGTCAAACTGCCAGAGTGCCTTAGTTAGATAACTGTTTGCTCGTTTCATTGCCGAAATCTTCGCTAGAGCTTAGCTGATAATCCCAAAACACGTGCCAAAAACGGCAATGCACCGATTTGAAGATATACCTCTACTATGTACTGTTATTTACTCAGCTTATGAACAGCGCCAAAATAAACTTATCAAGGCAAAGAAACACAAATGCCTAACAAAAGCAGCCCCAGCGAAGCTTTTCAAATACTATAATTTGTTTGCATTGAAAATGACAACGAAATGCGGCTGGTTATTTAAATATTTGATCAATTTATTAGTTACTTAGGCTTCTTCACTTCTCATCAAGCTTAACAGCTGTCTGTTAACAGCCACTCTCTTTATACAAGCTGTTAAGACGTCTGTTAAAGCTAACAGACTGCTTAGTGTTACTTTAGCAGGAAAATGTGAGGCAGGCACATGGGCAGCCATTACTTCAAAATTGTACACATCCTTTTCCAAAGGGGTGGCCAAAAAAATACAATTTTGATAATATATTGCACAGTGCGTTAAAATGATAATAAATGCATACGAGTTACAGATGAACTGGCCAAGAAATCCAACTCAGTTGAATTTAAGGGCAAAATAGAGCGCGATAATAATGAAAATGTGTTCGACCTCAGAATCGAGGCAACTACTCGGTAATGTATGCGTATTAATTTTTCATTTCTAGCATTTAAATCAAACAAAAAAAAAAACAGAAATAAGCCTTTAAAGTAATTGCATTCCCATTTTTAGTCAACAGACTTAGTATTGTCCAATTTTAACTTTAAAGCAACTTTGTGTTCATAATTTCCGACAACATTTTAACACCAAAGTTTCGCTACAAAGTATGTTGTATTAGAATATTTTTTAACTTTTTCATATTCGCATTTTGTTATGTAAAACAGATTTAAAAACTCAAATATCTATGGATGTCAACAATGTCAAATTATATCATCGTTTTGCGCAGTTTCGATAAATAGTGAAGTCAGAAAATGGTGTCAGTTTGATAAATGGCCAGAAAGATGCAAACCTATAATTAAATCACACGAGCAATGCCACAAAATTTGTGAAAAATAAACTTGTGCCATCTCCCACTATATGTTATGTAATGCGCCCGCCGATGAATAATTACGAGTATCATACAATAAGTATGAGTATAAGGCACTCCATTCACTCTCGCAACTTTGGTCTGCGATTCAAGTGCGTGCACTCATTTGCAGCAATAAAAGCAATGAAACTTTATGCTAAATACTTATAACGATGCAACTTAAATATTTCAAAAGTTGTTTACTTCATACTTCTATAGCAAGAGAAAATAAAGCAAACAACAAAAACATCTACGAACGAAAATTAAATTAAATTTTTCCTCTCGCAATCGGGACCTAAAAAGTTAAAGCATCGGGAAAACGTTCTCGGAATAAAAACAAATAAAAATGCAAATAAAAGTTATATGAGGCGAAGTTATGGGCATGCACCAACACTCGGCAAAGCGGACCCAACCCATAAAAATGGAAAATCAACGAACTATAGAAGCAGAAAAAGAAGCGGAGGAGCCAACCATGTAGCTGACTGAGCGCTAACTGCTCTCCTATCTGGCCACTTGCATCAAAAACATCAAAGCGCAACAGACGTGGCTCTGTAATGCGGCAGCATCCACAGCAGCCGCAGAGATACAGATGCAGACAAAGATACAGCTACAGATACAGATACAGATACAAACACAAAAACAAATACAAATACGAGTAAGAGCTGCATAAAGTAGGTTGCTCGCAGGTTTGTTTTGTCTGATAAGCTGGGGCTATGAGATTAGCGTTTTTTTTCTCCCACTTCTCTGCTTTGCTCTCCCAACTCCGCAGTTCTGCGTATTTTGCTGCGGTTTTTATTTTATGGGTTAAAGATTTTATTTTGTAACTTAATGTTTGTTTCTCCTCTGTTTGTTTGGATTGAAGCAGCAGGTTGCTGTTGAACAAGGGCTGGGCTGGGACTGCAAATGTGCTCGTACTTAAAGAATGGGAAGGCTTTGCATTTTATAACATCGTTTCTTCTCTCTCGTGACTTTAATTGCGGCTATTTGTTGTGCTTAGTTTTGCTTTGTTTTGCTTTGTTTTTATCGATATCAACATCTTCATCATCATCATTTTTATGTCAACTCAACTCAAGCTTCTTCTTCGGCACTTACAATAAGCAATTTGAAGTTCCAGAGACTCGTCAACACATAATAAGCTAGTCATGGCCCATAAACTTTAGATAATTCACATTAAATTAGAAATACGCACAACTTAATTTGCTTACGTAGATCCTATAATTAGGCAAACGCGGAGAGTTCACTGCCCAGAGCTAGTCTACTCTAAACAAGATCTATAAAACCAAACATATTTTAGATAATTGCAGCATCGTTAAAAGGCAATAACAGGTCCGGTTTGTCAACTTCCTCATAGATTACAGCTTCTAACTTCTAATTAACCCTTTAATAACTCGCTTTTAGTTTAACTAAATTATTTGTTCATCATTCTAACTTCCCATTGCTCTGCTTAGTCTCCAATTTCAAGTAAGGATTGCGCGATTTTATTTTCAAATGAAAGAAAACTTTATACATCGAAAGGCAATATAACATCATGTAAAAAAATGCTTATTGCCTAAAAAATAGGGCTATCTATAATAAGAATGAAGAACATGCAGGTCACATTTCTGCTACCGTTGTCTGATTGTAGATATGCGTACTTACATATACTAGAGGGCTGCATGTGGAAGTTTTTAGTCATAGTTATTGAGACATCATTCATTATGTGTTACAAATTCAAAAAAAAAAACTTTAATATAAATATAATTATTTCTTCAACCTATTGATTGAAGAATTTTGAGTTACTCATGTGGATATGAAAAACCGTAATTTTCGGGACATTTTTCACAAATATATAAATGAAATGATATAAAAAAATTAATATATTATAAGTATAAATAACACTGGTCGACCACGTCAATGTTTCTAGAAATTATTCATTGAACAACTTAACTCAATTCGAAAATTATATGAATGAATGAGCTCATGCAGTGCTCTAGTACACATATTTGAAGTTGGAAAAGAACATAGTCATTAACTTCTTATCACTAGCAATAGCATTGACAAGCACAGAGTCAGGCCAAAAATCGAAAGCTCCAGCTTATAACTTTAGTGTTAATCATGAACTCACACAGACCTGTTCATCATATATTGTATCTATCCACAATTCTACTGCTCACAATTGAGCTCTACTAATATAAATAATACCAATGTGAATAAATAACACTGGTCGACCAAGTCAATATTTTAGAAATTATTCATTAAACATCTTAGCCCAATTCGAATATTATATGAATGAATGAGCCCCTGCAGTGCTCTAGTACACATATTTGAAGTTGGAAAAGAACATAGTCATTAACTTCTGGTCGACCAAGTCAATGTTTCTAGAAATTATTCATTGAACAACTTATCTCAATTCGAATATTATATGAATGAATGAGCTCATGCAGTGCTCTAGTACACATATTTGAAGTTGGAAAAGAACATAGTCATTAACTTCTGGTCGACCAAGTCAATATTTTAGAAATTATTCATTGAACATCTTAACCCAACTCGAATATTATATGAATGGATGAGCCCATGCAGTGCTCTAGTACACATATTTGAAGTTGGAAAAGAACATAGTCATTAACTTCTTATCACTAGCAATAGCATTGACGAGCACAGAGTCAGACCGAAAATCGAAAGCTCCAGCTTACAACTTTAGTGTTAACCATGAACTCACACAGACCTGTTCATCATATATTGTATCTATCCACAATTCTGCTGCTCACAATTGCGCTCTCCTACCATCTGTATGTCAGGAGAAAGTCGGGACCACAGACCCATTTCGTAGATTCTGGCAAGTTTGTAGTCGACGAGCTCTATGATCAAGTGCGGGTGCTGTGCTTGTTGCCCTACAACTATGAGGATTCCAGGGGAGCTCGATATGTGAAACGCACCTGGGGCCGTCATTGCAACGAGTTGCTCTTTGTCAGCGGGGATGTGGATGAGGAACTCGAACCGTATGTTCCGCTCGTTAATAATAGTGAAAACTGGATGCTGGTGCACATGGGATTGCAGTATGCCTATGACTATTACAGGCACGACTTCGATTGGTTGCTCAAAGTGGACGATCATAGGTGAGTCCCCAAAACTGTAGCTGCTCGTAAAATCATTTGAATAGTGTGCCCATAAATTGCCATTTCTGTTTATGATCTGACTCTTTGTCATCTTTTTTATCGTCTGCATATTGTTATGGCTTTCAAAACATTTCTGTATGTCTTCGTGATTGTATGTTTATGTGCGTTCAGTGGCTGTGGCGGTGTCGGTGGCGTTGTCGGTCTTCGCATTTGACTTTCCATTGATAAAGTTATCAGCCTGCAGCTATGGGTTTGTATGCCTTGCCACTAGTTCTCATTCATCGATTATTTCTTTCTTTTACCCCGGTTTTTTGTGTTACTCGCTTCCTCTCATTTTCCATTGTTGAGCATTCTGGCATGCTGCCTGCTTTGTGGTTTGCCTCTCAAATGTTTCCTTTATCAACTGTGTCTGGGCAAAAAGGAAGTATCTATAGACAAATTTTTATCTGCTTCTCGTTCGGTTTTGTCGTCATGCACATATACGCTTATCATAAGCATTATGCCCGATTGCGCTCTAGAGAGAGGTTTAATTTAGATTTTGCCTAATTGGTACAAATTTCCAAACCCACTGAGTTTCTTTCGAGATTAAAGCCAAGCAGTTTTCCCACGTCGAACTTAGTTGATATTTAAATGGAATGAAAATCAAGGCCAGTGAACTTCCATTTTTGAATAAATCAATCAAATGTTTACTTGGCAAATGATGCAAATGATTGCAAAGCCTTCTTGCAACATTTAAGTCTTTAAAGCTATGGGAGTCGATTGAAACTTTCCCAAACTACTTAAATAGTCAATTATCAAAAGGAACATGGGCAGCAAATATCAGTTTTCTGTAAACTTCTGACGCTAAATTTGTTAGACTATGTAACCCCATTTTGAACAGTGCCACTTGGGCACAACCTTCATGAGAACCTTCCTTGATATACAAAAGTGATGATTTTTTTGCACCTTTTAAATAGAAAAACAAATTTTTTTTTTAGCCTGAACTGCCATTGACTTGATTTAAACTCAACAATTGCTTTGAAATGTTTTTAAAAACATTTTTAACAGTGTAATCGACTAATTATAATGGCGTATCTTATTAAACATCAGACCTATTCCAATAATTTACACATCACAATCATCGCTAATCTAATTAAAAACAAATATAGCCCAATACCAATATTCTGTATTTTATGTTTCTAATCGTCTTGCTGACTGACTCATTGAAGGTCATTTTTTAAACGAAACTTCTAGCATTTTTTACAGCAGCTACAACAACTGACGTTTTTGTTTACTAGAAGTAGGTTGTTGTTGTTGTAATTCACGCTCTTCCAACCAACAACCTTGCTCAATGCCCTTTTTTCTAATGCAAACTAAACCTTATCGAAGTGTGCTTTATTTGCGTTTTAAGCCCATACACAATTGCTTAAACCAATGCTTTGGAAATATAAAATACTTGTATGACGTTTATTCTGCTCTAAGTTTAATCTTATTTTCATTTATTTATTTATTTGTATTCAAGAAACTTAAAACCTAACATCGCACGCTTCGCTTATCGTTTGTTGTCACTTGTTTTTTTTTTATATATATACAAGTACATACTACATACTAGTATATATATTTTTGTTTTGGTTTCCATAGAAAAGCTGGTGCCAGGAGGTCAATGAAATCTTTGCGGCCTGTCATGGGCTAAAATAATTTACACCGACACACATAATTGGAAATTTATTACAAATTTTTATGTCAACACCAGCTTATCGCCTCGCAAGTAATTAAAAGTAAATTTTTAAGAGCATTAAAAAGCTAAAGTTTAGAGTACAATCAGTTGCCTTTAAGTGTTTATACTTTTGTGCTGGTGCTCGTTAGAAGCTCTGATGGCTTATTCGAGTGCCAAACAGATACGCAACTGAACGTTAGCATGATGACTGAGCAAAATTGTCTTTGAATTGTACACGAGATCTTCATTAATTATGTTAATAAACAATGGGCACAAATTATTGAAACAATGTCAAATTGATAACTTTTGAACTGCTCAATAGCCATTCGTACTCGTATGTGCCCGTACCGGTTTCGGCTTTTATCCAACTGTTTACCATTCTGAGCTCTCCACGCATCGACGTTTCAAAGCATTATCAACAATTATTTTCGGCCTGTTTGTTTAGCAAATAAGTCAACAAACTCACACTGTTGGCACACACATACACACACATGTATACTATATATCTATAGTTGTAGATTTGTTGCCGTTTTTTTTTTTTTCTTTCATATACTCTGTTTGCGGACTCTATTTGCGGCTTGGGCCTCGTTTTGTTTACCTAAGCGCTGTCATTCATTCATTAGAGAAAACGAATCCTCACACTCATATGATCGAGTTGTTGACACAAATTTTAAATGGTGATTGTTTGCCTTGCTCCTTATGTATATTTGAATTCATAATATCACTTGAAATTTACCTTTGCGATTTGCGTAGAAAAAAGATCAGACAATACACTGATATCCACAATGGAACTTCTGTTTAATTCTTATTCTACACCAGATACTGATCTTTTGTTAAAACTCAATATATTTGAATGCGCATTTAAGAGGAAAAGTATTTATTCAAAGTATTTATATTAATGCTACTTAGCTGATCAAATATATGGAGCTGAACACATCAAAAATCTCACTGACAATTTTAATAAAAAGCAGACAATGAAATAAATGACTGTTATTACAAAAAAAGAACTTCTGTTTATAAAACAATATAAGTTGCACTGCTATGAGGATCCGTTTTTTTAAAAGGAGGCGCTCATCCACACGGGGGGATGGACGTTTCTAAATTCATTTCTCTCCTCTTGTTTCCTTTGACTTATTATATATTTTACACAATTTTATTATGTATTAATAAAATGAATCTTATAAAAACAGGTTAAGTAGGCTATTCAATTCACTTTTTATTTTATCTAAGAAAATTGTTTGCTTTGTGACTTGTACATTAATTAATAAGAAATCTTCTTTTCGCACTAGGAATTAATAAACAAATAAATAAATAAATAATATAGCTATTATACAGGGTATAAAAATTTAACCAAAAAAAACTTTAATTTGGAAAATTTTATGTGGTGCAAGCCTTTTAAAAAAAGTAAAGGACTGAAGTATATTTTTCAACGTTTCAAACATTATTTTCAAAATTCAGAATGGCGCTGCTTTTGTCGAATTGTTTATACACTTTAAAATTTATACATAAATACGAAAAGTTGTTACAAAAAGTTATTAATTTATGGACAACTACTACAATATTGTAGATAATAGAAATACACTATTTATCATCTACTAATTTATCAATTTCCATTTTATAATATTTACAGTTTTGTCGTTATGGAAAATCTGCGACATCTATTACATAATTACTCCGCCAGCGAACCGATTTCTTTCGGCTACATACTGCAGGATATGGCCGATAAGAATGTAAGTCATCTTACATTATTATTAGTTGATATTTTGCAATTCCCAAGAAGGCCTTTCTTTATAGCAAACCGGGCTATGTGCTGAGCAAAGAGTCGCTGAGACGCTTTACCATCGAGGCTCGCAACCGCAGTACAACTAATTGTAAATTAAGGGACATTGGTTTTATGGAGGATACGGAATTGGCCAAATGCCTGCGTGGAGCGAAAGTGGAAATCGTCGATAGTCGTGACAGAGATGGTTGCGAACGATTCACGCCCATAGCGACGGTGCACCATTTTCTCGATGGTTTTAAATACGCACCGTGGTTACAGAATAATAGTTGGTTCAGAACGACTGAGAGGGTGAGAGGGAATTGCATAGATTTATAGATAGTATATATACTATATATTGATCAAATATGCCGGTTTTATTTACAGCAAACGGTGCCAATTTCAAGGCATGCTATTACTTTCAGTTTTGAATACACAGCTGATATATATGATATGTACTATTTTGTGTATCATGTGCGATTATTTGGTGTGCCAGTGCCACACACTGAGGAGGAATGATCAGATTAGCTAATAAAGTCGTCGCAGCTGTCTCGAAGCATTTCCGTTTTCCGATCTTTCAATTAGAATGGCTTGGGTTTGCATTTCCGAGTAACCCATATGCGGGCATCATTAAGAGAGCAAGAATTCCCACATAACTCAACGCACATACTAGGGTCAGTACCTATGCCGAATTCCACTGCTTCTATGGCTCCTTAAACCTCAATCCACACAGATTGAAACACTTTGGCATCGACGTGTTCATCAATGGGCCTTGCTGGCTGTTGTCTGCGTCTGTTTTCCCAGTCGCCTTTTGTCTCGGGCCCTCTCCAAAATTACTTCCGTTTGGTTGGGCTGCAAAGTGTCATTGTTGCATCATGTCTATCGTTTGTTCCTATACCTATGCCTATACCCCAGCAACGGCCCTAAGCCCCTTTCAGCCGGCCGCCTGCAGCCTGTCGCCTACACATTATCCGAGAGAGAGAGAGAGAGCGACAAATTGTATGCAATATTGCGCTTTTTCTTCCTTCTCGACTGCTTCCTGGGCCTATCTGCTTGCTCTTAATCATGTGTAGGCCTTTTGTTTGGCAGTTCGTATTGGTAACCTGTAACCTGTTACCAAACAAGCGGCAACCAACTCAACTGGTAATTTGAGCACGTAAACTGAGACATTAGCACAAAATAGCCATGCTTTGTTTAAAGTTTATTTAGTGTGCACCTTTATACTCATTTCTTTTGTCCGTTTCGCCTGAATATGTTGCTCGACTGTGTTGTGACTGTGTTTTCATATTTTTCTATACCCGAACACTGATGTTCGTGAACAAATACTATACTCGTAGCATACAAGTAGGTATATGCATTCGAAAGCGCGTTTATTTAGCCAATAGCTCGACACCTAGCATTGACACCGAACAGTTGAGTTATGATTTATGGCCGTTGCCCGATTGTTATTTGGTATGCGGTTTTGCTAACTAAATAAGCTAAATTCTATGCAAATCGTTTGTCTTTTTGGAAACGTTGCTGAAACGTGTTTCCTTCGCACTTACCTAAAACCGAATAGTATATACGATATACTACTAAGATTTTGCTATAATTTGCTGAGATCACGCATGTATTTTCGAACAAATGTTATATCATTCCACTCCAAATATTCCACATGTTCATTTTTATTTTTATTTTTATAATTTAAATTTTATTTGACGAGACATTATGACTGCATAGTTTTCGTTGAATGAATTGTCTGTTTTGGAATTGAATTCCAATTATTGCGGACTTCATGAAGATTTGAATGGGCTTTGAGAGGAAACACCATTTAAAATACATTTTACATAGATAGCAGGAGACTAATTTGTTTATGCCTGTTTTAATTTTTATGAACTGCTGACTCTTTTTTTTTGACGCCGGAACACAACGAACTGAACGAATGAATTAGAGTGCTATATGAATGAATAGATTCATTTGCGTTGCTATTGAAAGGCTTATTAATATAATTTGGATGCTGGTCCAAATCCATAATTAAGAATTTAAAAAAATAGCAGTTGACTTTGTAGTCTGATAACTTTTTTCTTCCTCCTTTTTCGATGAGTTTCTGCAAATTGCCATCAAAATGGCAAATGCTTTAATATGCAGTATATATAATATTTATTGTATAATAAATATTGAATGGAATTTAAATTAAAAATTAAACTTTTCAAAACCATTTCTATTGCATTAGTCGTTGAAGCGGAAAGCAAAGTCTAAAAATTCGCGATTCGTTTTTGCACTTAAATCTTGATTTAAACATTTTACATTTAAAAAAAAATGGAATTAAAAACACATGAATGTCAATTTAAAGATTCAAACTTAAGCGTGCAGTGGACATTTCTAAATCATATTTGATATAACCAATTCTGAATACATACTATATATATGTTACACTCTTGACAATCTTGTTAACAGAACAGAACCGGACTTGCGCCGCATTTATGGCGTGAATAAATAATCGCAATAAAAAAATTCGAACTAGATTGCAGTTTCAACAAATGTCAATGCACATGAGAAGTGGAATTCAATATTAATAATGTCAATGCAGCTGCACAATAATATTAAGCTTCCTACCTTTATGGTTTCTTTGAGGAATGTTTAAAGGCACCCACTCAAAGGAATATCCATTGCAGTTTTAGAGTTTTTGCCAAAGTCAGTTGATGAGACTCGTATGTATATGAATGAATACTCGATATTGCAGCACTCCTTTTCAATACTATATGTCCATTGCTTGATGCGCATAGCTTGCAGATACAAATGCCACTCCCTTTCCCGACTGCTGCACATCCGCGGAGACGCTGCACAGTCAATGGTTAAGCAAACAGAAGTATCAGCACTTGCCAATGCCCGATTTTGATATCCAGGTGGCAGGAAGCCAAGGGTAAGCAAAGTCTTACCTTATCCGCAGACCGAACACTATAATTGACAGCGCTGGCAAGGCAAGTCAGAGAGAGTGTGCGCTGCAGGTTGTTGTTGCTGTTGCTGTTGCTGTTGTTGTTGTTGGGCGGCAAGGTGAGCTAATATTTCTAATTGAAAAAGGCAATTTGTATGCGGCGGTGGTGCAATCAAGCACAGGCAGAGCCAACCACTATGGCGACAGACAAAAGCACTCAATATAATTAAATTGTAGCGGGAGCGGACCGCAAGCCACCACAGACGGGGCCCTAACCGCAGTTGCTTCAAGACGGTGGCAAGATGCCACGCCAACTCAGCGTGCGGCGTTTCTATTTGAGCGGCAAAAATAAAATTAGCATTTCCAATCCGTGCCACAGTCGAACTCTCCAGTGTCTCTGGCGACTGCTGCTGCTCGTTCTGCTCTGCTATCTCATCGTGTTATGGCAGAGTGGTCAGCAGGATGGTGCGCCCGCCTTGGTCGCGGATGTGGCGCTGAGGCAACGGGTGCAGATCTTCTGCATAATTGTCACCTACGGCCACAGGCATGAGGGGGTCGGCGTGCATGTGAAACGCACCTGGACCAAGCACTGCAATCAGTATCTGTTCGTTAGCGATGATTCGCATGAGGAGCTGGAGCCGGCAGTGTTTATGCATCGGCCGGACAAATGGCAACGCATGCGTGCCCATATGGAGTATGTCTATAAGTACCATTACTTCGACGAGAACCATTGGTTCCTCTACGCCAATGATGACAAGTAAGTGAGGATGGTGGTGCGGGTGGTGCGGGAGAGGGTAAGGATGGGGGAACTAGCGAACAAGTGCGCCTTAAATGCTAATGCCTTCTCTTCATTTCCTTGCAGCTTTGTGGTTGTGGAAAATTTGCGCTTTATGCTGCAACATCATAACAGCAATGAACCCATCTACTTTGGCTGCAAGTTGCGAACGCCACAGAATGAGGTAAGGCAAGTGCTGCAGTCTGTTGAATCTATTTACACTGAAATAAATGGGACTGCCTTGGATATACATATTTAGCTTACAATGGGGGCAGCCCAGTTCAACTTAATGCCTTTGTCCTTTTAATAGAAACTATATAGAAGGACTTGGTAATTCTTCCAGTGATTTTTTTTATATAAGCCAGTTTTTTGCTCACTTGGTTAACTTAAAGCAAACGCTTGCTGGATTTTGGCAACTTGTTTGCTTTAAGCCACAAACTTGATTATCATTTCGAAACGTCATAAAACTTGCCTAATCAAGTAATTATTCGATAATATAAGTTATTATTTAATTTTAACACATTTGCTTTTAGTTGTATATATTCATCGAGCCGTAGAACTTGCTTAATGGAGTCAAATACTTAATTACTGATAAGCTCGGGGAAGAATATTCGCTAAAAATTATTTTCTTCCCCAAAAACATAAATTTTCAGACCATAAAAGCCATAAAAGGGGAGTGAACTTTCCTTAAATGAAAGTAATATGTAGTCTGTGCATCTGATCTAAGCCTTGTTAAGATTTCGTTGGAAGATACAAATTCGGGGCGTTCCTCAAATTAAAAAGAGTTCAGATGCATCCTCTCAGGAAAGCAAAATGTTATGGTTAACGAGCCTCTATTCATTTTTTCAAAGAATTCTATTATATTTTGAAAAATAAAAGGAAGAAAAAATATTCAATAAGAACACAAACGGAAATGTAAAGACATATTTAGAATATTTTTAATATAGATAGAATGTCCTTATAACTTCGGAAAAAAACACCAAAATTTTGAAAATTCTATTACAACATGATCATTAAAATTTGTGAAAAATAGCTTTAAGTTATTTCAGTCAAAAAGTAAGACGAAGTGCGTTTTTTAATTGCACCCCAAAACTATTGGGAGATTATTTAAATTTAATAATTAATTTTTTATAGTAATATATTAGATATCAGATTTTTTTTTAAACAAAAAATTAACCTTCTCTGCAAAAATATCAAACTAGCAGCAGCGAGGAATTCATTCACAAAAATTGAAAATTGTTAATCGATGATTCATTTTTTGTAGTGTAATAGTAGGTTCTCCCACTTAATTGCATTTCCCATTGTGTAATACCTCAACAATCTGCCTTTGCTTTATAGACTTACATGTACGGTGCCTCGGCAATGGTGCTTAGCAGTGAGGCGTTGGTTCGCTTTGTGCTCCAAGCCCTTCCCAATGCCAGCTTGTGCAGTCAGGAGGATCATGGGGACGCCGCTGACGAGCAGTTCGGCATCTGTATGTCGAATGTGAAAGTCCTGGCTGGCGATAGCCGCGATGTTTGGTCAAACCACACATTTCTGCCCTTTGAGGCTGAGGTGCATGTGGGATCAAGGATGAATGCTTCACTGGAAAAGCACAAATATTTTCTAGATCGCTCCTACTACGAAGTGCATAATGTATGTCGAACCATGTCGAATGTCTAGAGATAATAAGAATTTTCAATTTACAGCTTCGCCTGCCAGTTTCGAAATATTCTATCTCTTACCATGTGGAATATATGCCTGATATATATGATTTGTATTACTTCACGCATTTAGTAAACATATTTGGACAAATACAGCACAAAGATATACAAAATGCCTTCGGCAGTGCTGATGTTAAGCCTTAAAGCTCACTATTTTAAATAATGTGTTAAAGACCATTGGTGGCTCCAATTTCTTCTCTTGACAAATAAAAAAATCAATTAACTTTATACTTTTATTTACATTTATAAGGCAAGTCTACAACCGTTTATTTTAATTCCTACACCTAAAAGAGCAAATCTCAGAAATGTCGAGTACAAATATAAGCGTAATTTGGTAAAAATTGAGTGCTTCTTGTCACTGCCTGGTAATGCCAACCCAGAACTTTTGTAGCGCCGTTTGATTTACAAACCCGAAGTTCCAACGCTGCCCCACACTCTCCGCATCGCAGATATTTGCCACCACAATACGCTGCTCCACCTGTGCTTCCAGACACCTCTGCTGCGCCTCCTCCACACCCTGCACCAACTGCTTACCCTTTGGATCGTAGTACCAGAATTGATTGCCCAGTTGGCCATGGCACTGCCACAGCCAAATTGTGGCATTGGGTTGACGATTTCGTAGCTCTAGGCACAGATAACTGGAGCGCAGTTCACGTCTATAGCTCAGCGTCCATTTCTGATTTAGTTCGGGGTACTTAAGGTCCGTTCCACAGGGTAGTAATTGCGGCTGCCCCGATTTCTTGTGAGCCGTGTCCAAGCAAAGCTCTGGCGCAGCCAAGCTTTGCAAAGCACCGACTGCAAAGTCGGCTGGATCCTCCAGTGGGTATACCGCCAGAAAATCTGAAGCCAAATGCTGCAAAAACCACTTGAAGGGCTTGCACTGTAAGCGCTCACGAAGCGCGCGCTGAGTTTTAAGCGGACCCGCGCGGGCATACGTCAAGGATGGCACATTGGCATACAACTTGTCCTTGTACTCGTCCAGCCAGACCTCAGCAATGCGTTTATAGTTCTGTGATTATGGGGGGTTCTAATTAGTTAACACAAGATATGCCATTGTAGAAGTGTTAACTTAATGTTCCCCACTTTTCTAACATATTGTTGTAGCTATAGTAATAATTGGCTACTCACCCGTTCGATAGCCTTACGTTCGTTATTGCGTTGAGTGTAGCGCACCTGATAGTCGCCATGCCTAAACAAATGGCCCACACGTGCACAGGGAACCTCCAAAATACGTCCGCCACATAGCCAGAGCTTGAGGCTCAACTCAAATTGCTCGCCGCCCCACACTCGCAGGCCCTCATCATAGGCGCCCAGCTCAAAGAACCACTGCTTTCTTATGGCAAACAGACCGCCATTCATGATGGGATTATCGTGGGGGGCGGGCAGCAGGGCAGCCTCCGCCGGTAGCAATGGCAACTGTACATAGTTGAAGTGCCAATTGAAGAAGCCACGCGATGGCTTGCCACGCCTATATGCGAAATTGGCGTAATCAATGGTGTCGATGATGGGCGTGGTGCAGGTGCGATTGTTCTCCAGCAACGGGGCGAGCAGTGGCGGCAACCAGCCCCTGGTGGCTTCAATGTGTGCATCCAGGAAGACGAGGACATCCGCCTGGGCCTGCCGCGCACCTTCAACACGTGCTCCCATCAGACCCAGCTGTTTGGGCAGCTGGAGATGCTGCACCAGCTCTGGGAATTTCCAGCTCACATAGTTGGCGAAATCGCTGCCGCTGAGCTCCTTCGCATCACTCGCATCGTTCACCAGAATGATCTCACGGAGCAGACGCTTCGGCGTTCTGTTCTTCAGGCTGTGGAGCGTGCGGAGCAACACACTCGGCTGCTCATTGTGATAAGTGATAACAACGCTAACCGGCGGCAGCTGTTTCAGTCGGTAGCGGAGCTTTTTGCATCTGAGTATAAGAAATGCCATCTTATACACACTTGACGAACTCTTATACCGCAACGCTCACTCACCTGCGATGCCGCATGTCGTGGAGCTTTCGCTCGACTGAGATACGATTCGAGAGCCAAGCATTGTAGCCCGTCTCATTCTGACTGCTCTCAATAGCCAGCAGCTCGTCGGCGCTCCATTCAGCGAGCGCTGGCTTGCCCATGGCCCCCAGAGAGGGCACTACGAGTGCCTCATAGTTCGCTCTCAAGTACCTGATATTATGCTCAGCTGCTGCTGTTGTTTTGGTTGTTGTAGTAGTAGTTGTTGTTATTGTTGTTGTGTGCGCAGCCCTTGTTTTTGCTGCCAAATTTTCGGGCTTTATTTCATTGATATAATATATTAGGCTTATTAAGACCGCCAACAGCAACAACAACCATATTTGTTTCTTTTGTTTATGCAAAACTTGTAAATACATACTTAGTACGGATGGACAAGAAAACTTTTGTTGGCTCAAACGCACCACGCAACGTTTAGGCCACGACTGGGTCGTAAGCTCGGCTCACGTTCAACCAATAAGTCTTATACGCCAAAGAGAGGCAGTGAAAGATCTTATACGTTTCTGTTATTTTCGGCTGCAAGCGCATTTAAATGAGTCTTAAATTCAATTTAATTTATGCGTTGTTACATACAAGGCACATAGTCGTATTATATACATACATGCAAACATATTTACCCTTAGCGACAGCAAATGGAAGAAAAAGTACTGACAGGAAATAGTTTCTCTAATATTTTTTCTTAGTAGTAGTCGATTAAAGAATTACAATTAAATAATTTGTTTAAAGCTTAATACGTAATATGGGGTTTTCCACATAATGAATATAGCTTTCTTCTACACATCGGATACAGGATATAGTAAATAAATATCAAAACTATTTAATCGGTTAATGCTTTTATTGTAGAAGAGGTTTCAAAAGACATGACGACTGAAATCGATCTAGACATACATATTTGCCTGGATTTCCGAAACATTGACCAAACACAGTATGTAGAGTCTCCTAATATCCAGGCAACCGAGATTGTTTTTTTAATTTTTATTTTCCCCCCTCCTGCCAGTACAGAACTGCCCACATAGTTGCAAATCAACTTATATAAACTAAACTTTAAACATGTTATTCATATATAATTCCATACTTTAATTTCCATCCAAATCGGATCATTCTAGGAAAGTTTATTTGCAAAACCATTTCACTCCAGTACTACGATCACAAACTGCAGCATCAAGTTTTCACTTTTTCTTCTTTTTGCTTTAGCAATGGGTGGATATTACTTAGCGCCGGAAGTTTGTTCGGGTGGAGGTATTTCAGTGGGGGGCTTGCTCATATTAGCATACTTTCTTGCTTTTCTTTTGAGAAGTTTTTCTTTTATATAGTTTCGTTGTGCCTCATAGGCTTTGTCTTCCTTCGCCTCTGCCAATGCCCTCTTCTTAAATTGTTCCTTAATGATCAGCTCTACGTATAAGTTGTTTAGGGCGAGCATGTCTACATATGTAAAAGACCATTGCTGCATTGGATGATCATCCAGACAATTATTCATGACGACATGCCGCTCCTGGGGTACCGCCTCCATACAAAGCCTATTATTTGTTGGCTGCCCTTGCTCGATCTGATGCTTGGAATAGTCGTAGAACCAATATTTCTGCATGAATGCATCATTGCAGTACTGGAGCGCGACTTTTGTTGGGATTTTCCGTCTCCGCACCGCCAAACACTTCCCATCCTAGATAAATAAATTCAAAAATTAATGGGGAATAATTTTCGATGATTGTGTGTTGGACAACCTGCTTCAGACTACGGTCGGATCCGATAGCCCAATATTGCGCTGAGCCAATGCGTTGCTGAAAACTTCTTCTCTTGCATGGACGAAGGCGCAAGGATATGGACCTATTCCGTGGCTCCGTGCTAAGGCAAAGCTTTGGCTCATTGATCATCGCTAGCTCGCCATTTGCAAGATCCTCGGGCAGTTCAAAGGGATGAGCGGCCATTATATCTGGAGCGACATGCTCAAAGAAATTCCGCGCTGATCGGCATTGTAAGCGACGACGTAATATGAACTCCATGCGCAAATTATCGGGTTTGAAATGTTGTAAATTTGGCCAAGTCTCATAGACAACTTGCTTATATTCATCGAACCAGACCTCCACCAAGTTCCTGAAGCTCTGCAATATAGCCAACAAATATGAGTAGTACATACAACGCACTATTTCGAAATTTCCTCCATATCCAGTCTTATGTAAAAAGGCATTTGTTCTAAAAAATGTGAATCCTTACTAGAAATAAAAGACTATTACAGCAGAGAAACAAAAGCTTTAAATAGTGTAGACTTTGTGTTATTATTGCTGAATAAAGAAGGATTATAAAAAATGTGTGTAGGAATTATTTGTCTACCTAGCGAATTCCATGAACCTTTAATATTTTAGTTATGGCTTCAAAGATGTAAACAAATTGGAGAATTTCTTTACGAAATTTTAAATTTAATAAATTACCTTGCACTTTGTATGCTTAATCATTATTTTTTTTTTTGTATTACTCACCACTTGCTCATCCATAAAGTCTTCGAGCTCCATGGACTCCTTATTTAGAGTATTCGATTTGTGCTTTATATAACCCACACGAGAGCAGGATGCCTGCAGCACTCGACCTCCACATTGCCAGATTTTGAAGCTCAGCTCAAGCTCCACAGCCGGTGGATTGTAGTACTCGGTCTGATAACTGTCTATTTCCCAGAACCATGCGCTAGTTATGGCAAATACTTTACCGTTTAGAACTGGACTGCCATGGGGCTCGGGATATTTCTCTTGCTCTTTAGCTCGCAGCGGCAGCACCATCCGATGTAAATGCCAATCAAATGCCAGACGCTTAGGTTCTCCTGCCGCGTAGCGCAGAGTCGCGTGATCAATAATATCCAGAACGGGCATTGTGCTGACTCGCCAGTTTTTCGTGAGGGGGAGCAGCAGTGGCGGCAACCAATCCACATTGACTTCTATGTAGGGCTCCATGAAGACCAGCACATCTCCGTGAGCCATCTCAGCTCCCACCTTGCGTGCCGCCCAAACACCCACATGCTCTTTCAGTCGACGCACTCGCAAAAAAACGCCGAACAATTTATTTACGAGTACTAGAAAATCTCGACTTCTCAGCTCCTCCACCTCAGTAGCATCATCGATCAGAATGATCTCTCGAATTAGCTCCATCGGTGTCCGCTCACGTATGCTGTGTAAAGCTCGCAAAATGGCGCTGATATCCACCTGATAATGAAAACTACTAGAGAAGGTTTCGTATTTTGTTGCCGATAGTAATAACCTGGTGATAGGTCAGTATTATGCTCGCACGGGGCAGCTCCACATCCATCCACTTGTGTTTGTTGCAACTGAAAGATCAACAACACTATATTTATAAAGCCTGAATATCGATACAGTTTGAACTTACAATTGATGCCGCACATCGGGCAGTCTTCTATCGAGGCAAGTGCGTTCCGATAGCCACACATTATAGCCAAACATGTGACCCTGTACTTGCTGGCTAATCAGTATCAAGTCTCTTCCTCTGGGGATCAATGCTGATTTATTAACAGGGTTACACAGCCCGTTGAATTTTTCATATAATGGACCCAGCGATCGATGTTTAAAGTTATAGAGGATTATAACCCAGCCCGCCAAGGCGCTGATTAACAGCATTAGCATTAGAACTTGCAACCTAGAAATTTCTAGTTTCTTTTGATACTTTGGATTCCCAGTTGAGTTTTTTCTTTTGCTTTTTGCCATCTTGAAGCTTGTCTTGGAAATGCACTGAACTTGCTAGAAAACGACTCACATTTGTCTCGGACTCGCAAATTAAAATGTAATATGATTACAAATGCCTATACACAGTGGTCTAAAACCGATTTACATCACACAAAATAATGGAACTTTTGAAATTAAATAATGACTAAGCGGTAAAACTATTGTGAAAATTGCATTTATAGTTAAATAATAGTTTATTTCTTTTATTTCCATTCAGTTCATTGCAATCACAACTGTAGTAAAGAAATTAGAATATATATGTATTTTTTTATTTAAAAAAAAAACAACATATTTTCATGTAATTCTTATCGTTTTATTGTAAGAATAAATAATCTTCTCCGTGTGAGCAATATTTTCGACATTTTAAACAATTGGAATTAATCTTTACAATTTTTAACAGAAAGGTGGTATTCCTGCAATTTTAAAAGACATCTGTATACTAGACATGAGCAATTTTGCATTTCTTTGCTTGCGAAAATTTTAAATCCCACTTTCAGATAAGGACCTGTTCCCATATTTATTGCATCATTTACAAAGCGGGCAAGAATCGCTGCCGTGAGGGCCCCTGCGACCACTTCGCCAACACAAACTTTTTGCCTTTTATCTTTCTTACTTTCCCCTTCAATCCTTTTCACCACAACGTGTTTTGTAACACATATATTAAAATTTGGCAAGAGGGTTAGTGCCGCACAAGCTGAAAATTGCGCGTCCCGTTTCCCACTAGCCAGTGTACATTTTATAAAGCCTATTTTCGTTATCTTCGGCTTAGAGGCAGTTCTGCTGTCTGCGATTTGATGATCTTGCGTCTTCAATATCGAAGTTCTCGTAATTCCTCCAAGGTCTCGTAATTTTGGCGATTTATCCAATCTTTCCAGTGTGAAATTTTTCGGTACATTTTCAAATGTTAACTGAGTTGATGCAGCGGCCAGTAAGACCTTTAAGAGAAAGACCAGAAAAACTCACTTTACTTGATTTGTAAACAAAATACATCTTTGACAGTTATTCAACACTGTTTCGATTAGCATTGGAAGATTATATTTAAAAATAAAAATTCCAAGTAATCTCAGAAAAGTCTATGGAGGCACCCATGTATCCTTCTAATAATTAAGCATTGATACTTACGGCAGCACCATGAAAAATCAATAGATATAGAGCCCCGAACGTCATCGATATTTGGAAACACAATATAAACTGATGTTATAGGAAAAGTTTCAAAGCGTAGTTAAGGCTTTTCGACCATGAAATTTTAAATTGATCGCTACTTAACAAAACAAAACAAACAAATTGTGCAATTTTTGTGTATAGTAGGAGTTTTTGATAGTCTAAATGTTGTAATTAGTCTTAAACTAAATATTTACAGACATGTTGGTACTCCTCCTCTACTTAACTCAGAGTTGACAAAAGATATAAATTAATGAAATTCAAATCGAAGTTCTTTTCGTATTCTTGTACAATGGGTTGCGTTGCTCGGAAGCTTTTTCAATTCAGTGCGACTATTTTCATTCGGAAATTAATGTTTTCATTTCTTCAGTTTATTATTATTTAAATCCTATATACTTATTATGTATTCACATTTGTGGCTTCCTAAGAAATGTTTGAACTTTGTGTTATAAAATGCAGTCTGTTATTTAAGATACAAAGATTCATCTTTAATATTAAAGCACAAATTTTGTTACAGTTCCAAATCGAAGCAGCTATTTTATGTGTTTGTAGCCCTTGCAAGACCAATAAATGAACCATTTAAATATTGTGATTTAGTTAAGTAGAACAATTTGCTGTGTATTGCCAATCAATAATGTTTAGCTTGTCTTTGCGCCGAACACGACGTTTCGTATCCAGCTTCTTAAAACTAGTAGCTCTCTTAATATCAAGTGCTTTTTTAGTTTGGTTAGTCCGCACAAATCATATTGATCTGGCAGTCGTTAACTACGAAGCTCTGGTGATACCTGATCTGGGCTTATATGGACGTGGTGCTCACCTTTACATGACTCCAAAAGATGAAGAGGACTATAAGCGGCAACAGAAAAGATACTTATATAATGGTTGGTTGTCGGAGCGCTTGCCTTTGAGTCGTCAGTTGAACGACAGTCGGGATGGGCGGTTAGTAGAGATGTTATCCAAAATGAAATTCAAATCTTCAATCCCAACACAGCTGTAGGAACAATGCGCACTCCAATTCCTTGCCCGGTGTCAGCATCATCATAGGCTATCAGAAGGAGCATCCAAACACACTTCTGCGTGCACTCCACAGCATCTACGAACGGACTGAAGCTCAACTGCTGCATCAAGTCATTCTGATAAACGACGATCCAAAGTCGGATGAGCAGCTGGAGACCTATATTAGGGCGAAGTTTACGAAAGTAAATCTGTTGCAGCAAGAATCAGAGAGCGGCATAGTCGCCGCTCGCCTTCGGGCAGCTCGTGTAGCCACAGCCGACATTCTTATATTTCTGGACGCACACGTGGAAGTGAACGTGGGTTGGCTGCCGCCTCTACTGGCGCCCATTGCATTGGACAATCATACGATCACACAACCAGTTGTGGACCTAATCCAGCACGATAGCTTTGCCTATGAGCCGGTGGAACTGCAGAATCTGGGCTTTAACTGGCACCTACAAGATGTTCGGTTGAACCTAAGCGACAGTAAGCGGAAATCGCTGCCTGCCCCGTTCGAGACGCCCGTACTGGCTGGCCCAGCGGTTGCCATTCATCGTTCATGGTTCTGGCGATTGGGTGGCTATGATGCTGCTTTGTCCGGAGCAGAGGGCGCCTCTCTAGAGCTCAGTCTCAAGTCTTGGCTTTGTGGCGGTCGCGTGCTGTTGGTGCCTTGTTCCCGACTCGGTCACATAAAGAAACAGGACGCTGGCTATGTACAGAATAGGAATCGCAGTGCGATTGTGCGACGCGTAAGTGGCAGCTTATTTCTAGTTCGATCACATTTCTATTGCTAACGGATTTGCAGAACTACAAACGCATTGTTGAGGTGTGGTTCGATGAATTCAAGTCACAGGTGTACGATCGTGTGTTCGTTTTAAAGTACGCCCAACCCGGTGATCTGAGGCAACAGTACAGGCTACGCCGCAGCTTAAAGTGCAAGCCCTTTAGCTGGTTTTGGCAAAATGTGGTGCATAAATTTCAGTATCAGTGGCTACCTCTGACCCTGGGAAACTTCGGCGAGGGCAGAATACAGTCTCTTGCTCAGCCAACGCTGTGTTTGGATTCCCGAAATAAGGATACGCTCCTGACCACATGTGCCCCTTTGTCATCACAAAAGTGGGTGTTCACCCACAGCTGCCACCTGCAGCAGGGAAACTTATGTCTCGGCATGAGGAATGCTCATCTGATCGCTGATAATTGCAGCTCGGACTTTGAATCTGCCAACTGGTCTTACGACACGCTGCAGAGAGGCTTCGTTTTAAATGGTTTAGCTTGCTTGCAAGTAGATCCCATAGTAAAGGATGTGTTTTTCGAATATTGCAATGCTGCAGAAACATCTCAGCATTGGTTCTTTTCTGGCATTACCAACAACATCATGGATGAGAGCATAAAAATATGTGCACCCACGGTTTAATATTAAGAATAAAACTTCAAAGAAGGAAATGAAACTTAGCCTAATAAATTCATAAACTAGTATTCCATTTGCTTAAATAATGAGCTAACTTAAGTAAAACCACTTTCCCTACTCTCTAACAATGTTATGTCTTACGTTTGTCCATTATCGATTTTTGCAAAACCTCTAATACCCATTGCTGCATTGAATTCGAAACATTGCATTGATCCATATAAGGTGTATTAGGCTGTGTCTCATTGAAGTGCAGACACTTGTAACTGCTTATGAGGTGCTTGGTCTGCTCATTGTAGCGCCAAAACTGAGGGCCACCCAGATTATGGCACACACCAAGACCCAATCCAATCCTAGGCAATTCATATCGAAGCTCCAGACACATATCGCCATTCAAACGTATGTCCATCATATAGCTCCATGTCCAATTTTGCGAAGGCAGCTGATTGCAGCGCTCGAGACTTATGCTGCGCCTGCGCAGATCGCCAGTTAGACAGAGCCGAGGGTACTTCAGAGGTCGAATCGATCCGAGCGCAAAGTCGGGACGTGGTATATCGGGGAAATACTGTAATAAATCGGGAGCTACATTTTCCAAATACCAGTCGAAAGACTTGCAGTCTGAAACATTTCGCCAATCGAACTGTGCGGCTAGGTTACCCTCCAGAGCGGCTTTGATTTGCGGCTGATATCGGTAGACCTGATCCTTGTAGTTATCCAGCCAAGTCTCTACGATGCGCTTGTAGTTCTACAGATACTGAATTGATTATTATGTGCCAGGTAGTGCTCATATGGCTTACCTTGTAGCGTTCACCTCCCATTTCGTGCATATTTCCGTAGAGCTGTTTATAACTTGTCTCCTGGCGGTACAAATAACCAACTCTGGAGCACGGGACTTTCAGGACACGCCCACCACACCGCCACACCTTGAAGCTTAGCTCAAGATTGGCGCCTTCCGATCCCCTCATCTCCCTGTCGTAATGTTGCAAATCGTCAAAGTACGAGGTGGCAATGGCAAACATGGCGTCCTCTATCAATGGCGTTTCGAACGGCGAGGGTAAATCTTTGACCTGCTCCGATGAAAGCGGCACCTTTCGTTGTCTCAGACTCCAATCGAAGAGGGTACGTCGCTCAGCACTGCGCCTGTATGCAAAGTTTTGATTATCGATGCGATCCAACATTGGCATGGTCACAGTTTTCCTATTCAGCGATATGGGCTGCAATAATGGCTCTAGCCAGCCTTCTGTGACCTCAACATGCACATCGACGAAGACCAATATATCGGCATTCGCCTCCTCAGCTGCGAAGTTGCGGGCTCGTATCAGGCCGACGGGCTCGGGCAGGTGAAAAATACGTACAGTTGGCCCGAAATGTTGCTTAATATATCCGTCAAAGGCTTGTATACTTAGCTCATCCATGTCGCTTTCCTCGTCAATAATCAAGAGCTCTAAAATTAGATATCTTGTGGTGCGATCGAAAATACTGTGCAGCGTGCGCATCAGCATGGCCAGCAATTCGTTTCGGTAAACAATTATAATGGCAACCTCTCCCAATAGTTCTGTATAATTAGAATCCAGGCAGCGCTTCTCGCGTAAGTCCGGCAGCTTCCGTTTCACTGAAATTCTCTCAGCCAGCCAGCCATTGTAACCATTCTCCCATTTCAGCTGAAAGGCCGCCAGCTCTTCAAAGCTCATATTGACCCTGGCGGGATTCCCCATTTCTCCCAAACCAGGCCGCGTGAGGACTCCGAAATATGCGTGCCAATCACGCAGTTCCCCGTGCATCTTAAAGAGAAGCAATAACAGCGGCAAGCCAAGCAAAAGGCACAGTCCGAGCAGTGTATTTTGGAAATTTTCAAAGTGCAGACCATACCTCATGGCTCTACGAATGCGTCGCCTTGTGCTAAACTGTGTACACTTCATGCGAACTATACTAACTTAATACTTTAACTGATAAGGAAAACTATAGTAAATTTGACGATTCATGTTCAATTTCAATTATCAATTGAGGCGTGGAAAAGTAATGAAATGGTTTAACATGTGTGAAGCCTTACCAGGGCTCCAATTCAACAAGCAAGTCTCCAAATATATTCTACATCTTATAAAACTGAAATACGATACGACTGTTTAACAACTTTATTACTAGAACTAAATAGTATTAAATCTAAGAATGAAAATTCATAGTCCTTCATCATATACTATATATTTCTCAAATTAAGTTGAGTAATCTAGTTTTTTCTTCAGTGTAGGGAAACTAAATGAGCACTTAAATAATAATTGCGGACAGTGGAAATGGGAATAATTAATACGCCCTAAAATACACAAAAATCTTTCGTTCCATTTATTCATTTCTGCATCCACATTAATTTTAATTAGTTATTAGAAACTTGAAACTACATCTGTGAATGAAATCAACGGGAACTATTCACCTAGCTGTCAAACAACAATTTATTCTTACCAATAAATGAATAAGTTTTCAAGCTCAAACACCCAGCGAAAATTTTAAGTTTTATTGAAAAGCCTCAAACAAAAATAGTATGGATGAAGAAAAAACCAGTTAATTAGTTAAATTAAATGCAATCTATTTTGGAAGAGGAAGCGGAGTTTCTTAAGAAAAATGGACTCAAATATAAATGGAAAAATTGTATCATACTGAATTAAAAATCACCGAAAATATCAGATTCCTTTATACCATATTGCTGGAGAATATCGTTGGTCCACTTGTCCAACTTCTTCCTATGATCGTCACTAAGTTCATCTTTAAAAGACCCCACAATGCCTCGTCGCATGAAACTAAAAAGAACATTAATTGATTGATAATTTAAAATTCTATGCATACTCAAAGTTTTCGTTGATTTCATAGGACTGCTTCAGAAGACCCGTCAAGTTGGTGTACTGGTGTGCTAAGGATTATGTGGATTATATTCATAATTTTAATAAGATTAACTAAATTTACAGAGCCTTGCAGAAACTTTACCTTTCATATTATCAAAGGACAAATGGTGCAACAATTCCTTCATTTCTAATTTGCTTAACTCATTGATCTCCAAGAAGATGCACAGCCTTTTCACAACACTTTCCAAATCCTTTTTCATCTCCTCATACGTGACAAAGAAAATGTTGGGCTCATTCCTCATGCGCCAAAAGTCAACAATGTGTGCCCAGAAGGATGTGTATGCGATCTTATTATTTATAAACTCATCCACGAACTCAGCGATGCTTCCATTCCACATATTTAGTCCTCGCACAAAATTAAAAGAGGAGACCACCACATCCTTCACATTACGGGCAACATAAATGATTTTCCGTTTCTTTAACCAAACTTCTGGGGGCAACAATTGGGCTGGTAAATGGGACTTGATGAGGCGAGGACTGGACATATTATTACAAGCAGTTATGCTATCTTTGTCCACCATTGCACCCATGGCAGAGTACCTGCAATAAAAAGGCTATTATGAGATGACCAGAACATATATACGAGTATATATCCCCAGCACTTGCTCTAAGAATTTGCTGCGCTCCATCACATAACTTTGCTTTGACCCTTCATAGTCTAGTTTGTTTAACAGGAGCCAGGCCAGCTCCTGCATCCAAGTAGTGCCGCACTTCATGAATGTCACCACAAACACATCGTCGGCGCGCGTCTCGAAAGCCCCAATGCGTTCGCAGTTCCTATCCACGTACAATTGGGGCAACGTGCACCATCGTTCGCTCCAATCCTGCGTCAGTGGCAACCATTCTCCTGCTGTCGGACAACGCAGACGCAGCATAGGACCTGTTGCTAATGTTTCCAGTGCTTCAGTGTCGTACATGATGCAGAACTGGGAAGAAATTGTACGTGAAAAGTGCTTAAATAGAAGTCCGCACTTTAATGTGGGGCAATGTGCTGTTTAAATAGCAATTAAAATTATATTAAAGATTAACTTAATGGGCATTATAAAATGATTCTCATGCGCATCTTGCAAAACAACACTCTATTGATAATTACTTCCACTATATACAATAGTATATTATTATCTATAATGTGCTAGTAATATGAAAACAATAAAGGAGTGCTAGAGACGAGCGGACTCAACTCTTAAATACCCTGTACACACACACACAGAAAAGGAAAAATTAAAAAAATAGTGCAATATATACATACATAAGTGGACACATATCTAAATGTACAGTTTCCACATTGTACATTTACATCAGAATCAGTACAGAGAGAATACCTTTATGGCTATAACTTTCTTCATAAATAACTTATCATGATGAAACTTAACACACATTGCTCCTAACTGGATGTAATTACCAAATTTGAGTTCGAAATTCTAAGAATTACTTAATAATTAAATATTAATTGCAAACAATGGAAATGGGAATAATTAATGCATCTTAAAAATCACAACAAAAAAATGGATTTCATTTGATTGATTTTTTATTCATTTTTTCATCAAAAAAACCGTGATGCAGGAACTTTAAACAGGGTGCGATGTAAACATTTTGGCCTAAAATTTAATTATTTTTTACTTTGTAAATTCATTATCTTGCCAGAGATCAGTGCTGCAGATAAAATACTTCAATCCACCAATAGTATAAAATATTATATTACTTTCTGAAAGTTGTGCCTTAAGTTTGTTTCTGCAACATAAGTAGTAGACGAGAGTGTCAGTTCAGAAAGTGAAAAGGTAGAGGTATAAGGTAAAAGAAATTGATTACAATCGCCATAATTACAGGCTGCAGATCTATTAAGAGATACTAATGAACTCAACCTATATTTCCTCACGCTTCATCAAAACATTCACAGCATTGGCCTTGGCAAGGTCTTAAAACAAGTTAGAAAGCAGCAAGCTACTGAGGCCAGCCACAGTATTAAAGTTTTGCTACTCCCTTGAAATGTTACCACAAACACGTCACCCGCACGTGTTTCCCAGCCAGCACGCACTAGTGGTAGCTCCAACCCTGCTCCAATCGTACCTGCAACTGTGCAAGGTTAATGTAACATTGCCACCTGCGGCTTACGACTCAAAGGTTTTTCCGGAGGACGATGCGGACGTCTGCTTTGCAAATTGTAGACTGACTAAGCGGAATTTCTAAAAAATGTAATCTCCAGATAAAAGTTTTATCAGTTGCTTGTCCTTTATTACCTCCTCTCTTGATTATCTAGTCAGTTTGAAAAAACCTAATATTTAAACTAGGTATTTGTATTTTTTTTTTTGCTGGGTAGAAACGAGCATAGTGTTTGTCCATGGTAATAAGAAAGTGTTCACGTGTAAGCAAGGGCGTAGGCAGCTTTTACCAAAGGGGGGGCCAAAAAATTCATATTTTGATTAAATAATGCACGATGCATTTAAAAAATAACTTATGCATATGATCAATGAAAAAACTTCAACAAATCCAACTCAGATCCATTTAAAGGCGAAATAGTGCGTCATAATAATGAGCCGGTGGTCGAATTTATATGGCAAACTTTTTTGTAGGGGGGGAGGGGGGTGCAACGGCGTGTAAGTACTCTGACTTGTTCCCAAGGGCGTAAGCACAAATAAATTTGCAAAGAGGGGCGTTCGCTCTTACCTGTTACAATAAAAATTTGGTCTCTTGTACATATGAAAAGCGTTTTATTAATATTATCTTTTGTCGACATAGGGAGACTGAATAAAGTCAACAGAAATTATTCAAATAGCTGTCAATCAGTAAGAATTATATGGATTATATTCATAATTTTAATAAGATTAACTTCATTTACAGAGCCTTACAGAAACATTACCTTTCATATTATCAAAGGACAAATGGTGCAACAATTCCTTCATTTCTAATTTGCTTAACTCATTGATCTCCAAAAAGATGCTCAGCCTTTTCACAACACTTCCAAATCCTTTTTCATCTCCTCATACGTGACAAAGAAAATGTTGGGCTCATTCCTCATGCGCCAAAAGTCAACAATGTGTGCCCAGAAAGGAGTGTATCCGATCTTATAATTTATATACACATCCACAAAATCAGATATACTCCCATTCCAAATATTTATACCTAGCACGAACTTAAAACAGGAGACTGCCACATCCTTAACATTTCTCGGGGCAACAATTGGGCTGGTAAATGGGACTTGATGAGGCGAGGACTGGACATATTATTACAAGCAGTTATGCTCTCTTTGTCCATGAGATGACCAGAACATATCTACGAGTATATATCCCCAGCACTTGCTCTAAGAATTTGCTGCGGTCCATCACATAACTTTGCTTTGACCCTTCATAGTCTAGTTTGTTTAACAGGAGCCAGGCCAGCTCCTGCATCCAAGTAGTGCCGCACTTCATGAATGTCACCACAAACACGTCGTCGGCACGCGTCTCGAAAGCCCCAATGCGCTCGCAGTTCCTCTCCAGGAGGAGTTCCAGTTCACTCCAATCCTGCGTCAGTGGCAACCATTCTCCTGCTGTCGGGCAACGCAGACGCAGCATAGGAACTGTTGCTGACGATTCAAGTGCTTCACTGTCGTACATGATGCAGAACTGTGAAGAACTTGTACGTGAAAAGTGCTTGAATATAAGTCCGCACTCTGAATATGGGGCACTATGCTGTTTAAAGTGCACTTAAAATCATAAAAAAGATTAACAACACTAGACAGCATATCTTAGACAATAACTTGCACAATACAGTGAAAACTCTCTTAACGGACACCCCTTTAACTGGACACCCCTCTTAGACGGTCACTTTTTGTAGAACATTCGTTTTGGTGTACTTTTTAGAGCAAGTTCACCACTCTTGTGCCAAAACTCTTTTGACCGGACGAGAAATTCTAACTAAAGCCTCTCTGGGCCGGACGCGAATGCGAACACATCAAATTTGAAAGAAAACCTCTCTTGGCCGGACTGTATACTGTATATTACCTTCAATTTTGGTATTATGAAAGTCAGCCGAATGTAGGCGATATCAGTACGGTAAATGTTTAGTTGTGAAGATTCCATGAACTAAGTAGATTACAAATTGTTAACCATGACCTTGAGATATTTCAAACAAGCTATATAGTATTTTAATTAAATAGCATTTTTATACTTTTACAAGTATGTTATCTTTGTAATCACTTTCTTCAGTTTGCTCTTCATTCAAATTTAAAGCATTCATATAAAATGAAGCTCGAGCTGCTAAACCTAATTACCATATTTAGGCACAGGAGTATAATAATACCTAAATTTTGAACCATTTATACATGAATACTCACTTTGGAATATGAATATTTTATTCAAAATATTGGTTAAACACTGAGTTCAATATTACATAAGTTGCTAAACATTTGGCCATGTATCGCATTATAATGCTCCAATAAATAATGGGTCACATAAACAAAATCGAATGTAAACAGATAACATATGCAAGTATTTAAATCTCTTCAGAATCGGTTCAGTAAGCGCTTAGGAACCACTTTAAGGTGGGTGGGGGAAGGGGGGAGAGTGGAATACATTTAATCTGCTAATTCAACAATCATTCAATTTCAAATTCACTCCTAAGATACGGCACTCAAATTTCTTTCCTTTCATTTTGCTGGTTTGCTGGCCAAGTCCCCAAACATACACATACAAGTATAGCAATAGATGCGAATGCAAAGAACTCGTTCGGAATCACAGCAATTTTCAAAGTAAACATTTTTGTGTGGCAGCCACACCAAGCTGGGAGACGAATAAAGCAGCAAAAAGCTTCGGCATTTTATTTATAAAACACTTCAGAAAAAACAGTTTTCGGGCATATTGACGCAAGGATTGGGCAAAAAACAGTAGCAAGATCAAACAACAGAAACACAGCGGGCTCGGCAACGGGCACTGTGCGGGCCCCCTTCGAGGGTTTGAGTGAAAGTTTATTTTCCCTTTGCACGCAAACGGACTGCCAGCCTGGTGGACGAAGAGACAGTGAAAGCTAAAGAGGAGCAGAGGAAAAGCGAGACAGGGAGGCTGGCAACAAGCAGCGGAAAATGTCACATGAAAAATGCGTTTGCTGTGGAAATGCCGGCACTTTGCGTATGCTTTGCTTTTCTTCTTTTTATTTTTTTGTGAGGGTATTGGTTGAGGGTGCGAGTGCGAATGCGAATGCGAATGCCCCATCGACGTGCCCATCAACATACTTCCCGCCGCCTTCTTGCAATGCACAAAATTTCCATTTAATGTGTTTGCGCAAAGTATTAAAAGGCAACGACGATTGAGTATCGAAAAGTAGTAAAGCAAAGCAAAGCGGGCACAACAGATAGCAAGGGTGGACGTGGACATGGATGTGGACATGGAAATGGGCGAGGATTGTGGAAGTGGAGTGCCTGCAGCTGCATTTTGTGGCACGCTGGCGGCTGCTTCAGATGCTGGGGCCTGCTGAGTGATTGCCATGATAAGTGGCCCATTATGATGCCAGTTTGCACAGTGAGATTTCTCTGTCCGCCATTGGAGTGCGTCGAAGTCCTGCTGCCCCCTTTCCGCCGCCACTTCCCAATCCTCCTTTAATGCATATCAAAGTGGACAAAGCTCTGGCCGAAAAGTGCGTCATTGTTGTAGCGTGGACGCTGCTTCGGGTTCATTCCTATTTTATTTTATTCCTTTTGCGTTTTCGGTTGTCGCCGCCTGTTGACAAAAGACATTTAATTTTCTCTTAGTTTGCTTTTGGCCGCCTGCTGCCTGCTGCCTGCTTGCCAGCCTTCCTGCCTTTCTGCGTGAGTTCTCGTGCCAGTATCTGTGCAATAAAGTCTGTCAGCTTTTTATGCTTGATTTTTGCTTTGAGCTGCGAAAAAGTTTGATAAGTGAAATTTATGTTGACGCTTAAGTTTGTGGATGCCGCATAAATGGCAGAGAGTGTAGTTTTTATGCTCCATACTATGTTAAAAATATGCAAATGTATAGGGTATTTAAGGTTCTTAAAAATGCTTCTAATGAAAATAATTATTGATGACAGATTATAAGACATACTGTATTAAATATATATAAATGTATGGGTATTTTAGGTTCTTAAAAAATGCTTTTAATGAAAAAAACTATCGAAGACAGGTTATAAGACAGAGAGTGTAGTTTTTATACTCCATACTATGTTAAATATTTGCAAATGTATAGGGTATTTAAGATTCTGAAAATACATCTAATGAAAAGAACTATCGATGACAGATTATAGGAAAATTAATCCAATCCCAAGAATAACTAATTTTTAAAATTATTTAAATTTCAATAATGTATAGAAGCTCTTTAGGAATGACTAGTAAAAACTCACATTATACCTTTAAATATAAATGGGAATGTAAATAAAAAAGTGAGAAGGATAATTTCTACAAGAAATTAATTTGAGCGAAATCCTATTAAAAAGTTGTAAAAAAAAAAAATGAACATGATTAAAGCTCATTAAATAGCATTTAAATTAATTAATAATTAAACAGCAGTCTTCAATGAATATCTAAGCTCTGATATCTGATATTTTCATTATTGACACATCAAATCTGCAAGCAGGTTTTGAGACCTATAATTTAGTGGAAGTTGAGCTTAATGTTACTCTGCTTAAAGATCTATAACATACTTGTATGCACTGCAAGATTAGTTATCTAATTGTATTTTTATTTTGATGCAGAAGATGAAGTAATAATAATAAAATGATAAATGGAAATGATAAAACATTAAACTGAACACGTATTTATGTATTAATTTTATTTACAAAATGTATATAATTGTATGTTTAAAGGCTTTTGTTTTTAAATATTTTCAACTGAAAACATTAAACTGAACACCCATTTAAATATTTTGATTTATTTATAATTTTGTAAATATTAATATAATTTTATTTTTAAAGGTAATAGGTCTCGAGAGTTCTACAAGTATAATGAATGTTAATTTAGAGGACTCACAGACAGTACTTCAATATTTAAGGCAGCGATAAATAGTTGTCTAATATTCCCCTATATATATCATACTTTCCTTATTATTCTTTATTGTCTTACATAGATTATATGTAGCATATTTATTTATTTCGATTGAAACACATTCCAGGTTCTACAATTTCAATTCTCTTATATCTTATGTCTAGCTCGAATATAATTGAATTGATCATTTTT